TGCAACAAAGAAATAAACATCTTTCTCACATTGTCCTCAGTGAACAATGCATTGCTGCAAAGGGCACTGAAAGCAAAAAATCCATCAACAGAAGAGAAACTACAGGAGTCTTATCTGTAAGAGATGTCTAATCTCCAGGAGGAGTGAACAGCAATGACAGCATGGCCTCCCACTTGGTGTCACACACCTCAACACCAAAACCTCATCTGCTCATGCCCAATAACTGCCATTAGCCACCTCCGAGCCTCCACTGGCATCCCCCATTTTCTGTGTCCTTATGCACCTGAAAAGCCACTAAAAAGCCAGAGATACCCAAAGTTCCTCAGCTGGAAAGCTGCACCAAAGTTAATAAGACTTTGACCTGATTAAGATGAGGTTTTGAGTCTCCAGCTTGCACTCACTTTTTCATTTTTAATACTCATGCCCTAAATCATACATGGACAATAATTTAGGCTTATTTCTATAGATTAAAAATAGCAAAGCAGAAGAATTACCTAGATCTCCCCCCTGATATTTATTGTTCAAAACATCCAGGGATGAGGCTTTGTAACAGGAGTCACTTCCAACCCCTACCATGCTGGGATTCTGGAAGATCTAAGCTTAACGTAACCCTGAACAAATCAAAGTTCACGTTCTAGAACTATGCCACAGAAAATACATGCAGAATAAGCAGAAACATCCTACAAAGCCAAAAAAATAACAACTCAGCTGACAAGGTTAAGATATATCAAAAAATAAAAAAGCAGAACACAATACTGGGACACTGCTATATATTTACCCAATAAAAGCATTAACAAATGCAAACAAATGTCAACCAATGCATAATAAAACAAGCAGTAGAAAAATGATCTACCAGAAAGTATCATCTGGAATAGCAAGTGATAAATGCAAGCAAACAGTTTCAGATTGGATCTGAAATACTGAAGTGATATAAAAAATATAAATATTATTGTACATTACTAAGCAAATAAAGTCTATGTATGGTAGTACATAAAAGAATGTATTGCTGGGGATGGGGGGACTGGTTCATACAAGGTAAAAGTTCTCTTTTCCATATTTAAAAACATACTAAACTCCAAAATACCAGCTTCTGGTATTTTGTATCAGGTAAGATACAATCAATATTTATTTTCAAATGCTCTTTGTAGAATTTTTTTCTTCTTCCTTCACATTGGTGTTTATGTGTTTTAAATTGCCTGTACTCTTGAATGCTGCAATTAGAACGAGTTTTCATTTCAAGAGAAATAATAGGATCCAAACAACTAATGAGCTCATGTATGGGTGTAGCAATCACTCATCCTGCAGCAGAGGATTAAAAGGTCATGTTATAATAGCAGATTGGTTTCTCACACAAAGAGTGGCTAACACTAAAAGTTATGTTTTCAATTTCATAAGAGTAGTAAATGAAAAATATGAGAAAAACTCATTTTTCATACAGGCAGTATTTTCACTGCTAAAAACAGAAATAATAAAAAGAAAAGAAAAACCTTAGTACAAACAAAAAAAAATATTTATATGGGTATATTTATATCTGATCAAATACAATTTCTTTAGCCCTGAAAAATAAGCATTAACATTTTATTTGCATATCTGTATAAGTGACAAAGGACTTTATTTGTTGTTTATAAGGTAGTTAAAGAGGAAACTTTTACTCATTAGCTTTCTCCTTATAACACACAGCTGTGAAAGAATCGGGTTTACTCCCCTTTCACAACCAGGAAGACTTGAATCCATATCACCCTTTTCCCAGGAGACCACCTCAATTATAATACCGCAGTTATTGGTGGGTGCTTCCACAGAATGCTCTTCTGTAAAGGTTTCTCTCTTTGTAAAAAATAATATGGTCTTAATCAGAGCAGGGGCAAAAATCCAAGAGAATTCCACAACAAGTGTACAGCCATACACACAAAGTCTTTCAGTTCCCAGCCTACCCTTCCTCACCAGCTTCCTCCACTTAAGTCTACCAGTTTGGCCCTCTAGATTATTAAAAACAAACTTTGGTGGGAATTTGGGTATGTATGAGATTGTTAAAAACTTCAAGAAAGGCAAATTATCTTAAAACATGAAATATGTTTTCATCTGAAAATATACTTTCCATATCACTCCTGTGAAGAAACATGACACTTTTCTGAAAGAATGGAAAGGATCGAATCACATGCATTGTGTTTGACACTGGGAGGGCAAGTCACAGTTTTCATCACTCCTTATGAAGAAATGTTTAGAGATCTTGGTGTTCTAGATCCATAAATTTTAAACTAAATATCAAGCTATTCCTTTAAAAGAGGAAAAAAAAAATCCAAACAACTCAGTTTACCAGGAAAATCTGAACATAATGGTTTATAATTGAAGGGGAAATGTTTCTTTCAAACTCTCACAGCAAAGAGCAGGCCTCTCGAATAGGAATCCTCCTTATTCAAATTTTCCATTAACAGTAGTGGAACTTCTTGGCAGAATTCAAACAGACGATATTCAAAGGAGATCTTCCCTTTCCACTGCAAGAATAAGATCTGAGCAAAATTTCAGCAATGGGGGGGGGTTTCTATTCAGCCATTTGAAAAGTCCAACTACATTGTACACATACTATATGTGAAGATATTGAATTAACATTTAATATTGCACCAAGTTATAGTTTTCTGACAGTATTCATAATCCAACCCCTAATAAATTCAGAGGTCTCCAAGCAACAGCTGACTCTGATTGTGGTCAAGGCAAATAAAAACATGATAGTGGTTAAAAAACAAATAAAACAACAGGAACCAGTCAGCTGTCAGACAGCATCATAATTTTCCCCAATAGTATGTCAACAGAAGTTAGAAATCATAATCAATCTGCATTCATTTCAGAAACAACCTTTTTTTAAAGTGGAAAAAGAGAACAATAGCAAGAAAAAAAGGGGAATATTCCCTGTTGAGATTTCAATGCTGAGAAAAGAGACATCCTTGAAAAGCTTCTGATGACATTTGATTTGGCAACCACACTAATATACCTTGGTAACGGCACCTTTCTGTCACACCTAACAACAAAGGGACATATTCATGGAAAGCAATGATGAAATTTTTAAGCTAGCATGTTTGGTAAAATGTGGGTCCTAAGTCAGTGTCAAATGTCCATCAATTTGTAAATACCCAGGATTTTATGCATATGGGGCAAAAAGACCTCAGTCTCTTCATGACCACATTGTCTGTAGCAGAGTTTTCAGAAACAGAATTAAATAAAACTCAAATTCCATAGTTTACAGAACAAGATTCTTGATTTTGTCACTACTAGATTAGTCCTGATCCTGGTGCCTTTGATGTAATCTGTACAAGAGCAGATAACTTCAACAGAAATTATTTTTTTTTGTCCATCCCCTTGTTGGGAAAAATTTTTTTTTTCAAATGATGTAATTATAAACCACAAGATAAAAATTCCACCAGAATTCTGATATCAACCCACATACATACTAATAAAAGAGTTTTTCCTCAACTGTTGATTTGTGCTACTGTCTCTCTGCATTGTAATTTGTCATATATGTTAAGACCTACAAGTGAGACAATACTGAAAGTGGAATATACAAGATTTCATTCATACCTGCTGGTTTCTAACCCCCTTACACTTCTTTCTGATTAGAATCTTTTCAATCAATGGAAAGACAACTCAAATTTTCACAGACTCAAAGTTTTGCTTCACTTCCTTGGCACTTACGTGAAAACCATTAGTTATCTATAAAAATGTAATAGTCACTATAAAAGAAGTCATCACCCAACTGATTGAAAAAATACAAAATCTACATATAATGAAAATGAACAATTACTTTGGGCATCCATCACTTTCATGTGCTGTTCTTCCCTTCAACTAACAGATTTTTAAGTCAGAAGTTATCAATACAGTATTTTATTTTGATTGCCTATGAAATGCACTAATTTCTTCATCAAGCCTATAACTTCTAGTGAGTTACATCACATTTGGAAAAAAAACCAACTGTGGTAGCTTTTCATTATGGAATTTTATCACTGAAGGAATCTATCACTACAAGCGTTCATGTTAATGGAAGTTTTACTGACTAAATTAAGTTTTATTTCTTATTAAATCACCTTCACTGTGGCTTTGTTTGTTGTCAGCCAAAAGCTCTGAGTTTTAATGCTGAACCCAAAAAACTATGTAGCTCACAAATGTTGCCAATCAAGTGGGGTTCACAATTCTCTAAAAGCCTTGCATGAATTAACAGTGATGTAGCTTATATTGTTAAAAGTACAACCAATAACAGAGACTTTTTTCTATTAGTAATATCACTATGAGCATACTATACCTGGAACAGTTTAAGTATGAATTTGGCAAACAAAGATCAATATCATCTACGCCTTAACAGGAAGATAAAAACCATCAGACATTGCATGGAACTCACTGCAGATAAAATGTATATAACCTTGTAAAAATACAACATGTAGCATGATACTTCCAGAAAATGTTTCAACCAGAGGTTTGAATAAGGACCTGGAACACTGATTGTCATAGAAAAGAAAGTTTTGAAGGAAAAAAGTCATCTTTTGCTACTTGTTCTTTTCTATAAAGAATTAACATTCTTCCTGTGAGACCAGTTTGTTCAACAGGTTATTACATTAACCTTCTACAGTAATTTTTTTAGCTGCTATCAATGCAGGCTCAGAATTTCAGATACTTTTCATATACACTTGAAAATTCAACCACAATGGCATTACTTGTTTTTTAACAATCAAAAAACCCTCAAATTTTCCACAGAATCACCTTCCCCCCACCCCTTGATGGTACTTCAGGAAGCAACTGTAATTCAGACTTATTGCAGTTACGTACTTCAAACTCACGCCTATTTACTATCAGAGACAAGCTCAAACATTGGAGTTCTCAGTGGAGGGAAACTCTGAAGATCAGATTGTATGTTCAAACAACCACATTTTTCCTCTATGGTTACAACCTTCTAAAATCTGAAAGTTCTGCTATTAAAAATACCCTCCCATAAACCTCAAGAAGGTTAAGTGACCTACCTTAGAAAGTCCTCCTACTTCCAAATAGAAGCAGATAATGAAAACATTCCAGGTGACCCACAGGGCAGTCCACACCGTGTACTAAACACAAAGCCGGATGAAAGCAAAAAGACAGAAAAATAAAATGTGAAGATGAAAGGACTTTATACTGAGAAGATCAATAATAAAAATCCTGTTCAATAAGCATTGTTCTTTTGGGAAAAGACAAGCACAGAGAGTTCAGAAGATGACTTCTCCCTCCACAAGTCCCCTAAGAAACACAGGAAATTAAAAATCCAATATTTGTTGCTGCTCTAAATAGGTACCAATAAAACAGATATACTCCTTTGAGTTTTGGACTATCCTACTGATGTCAATTATATCCAAAATGCTGACTTAAACACTGGTTTTGGGGCAGCTAGGAGTCATTCATAAATCATGATTTAGCTCCATTAACAGAGACTCCAGAAGAGCACAATAATTTAAATAGCCAAACATTCTTCATAAGATTTAAATATTTTTGAATAAAGGCAAAGATAAAAAAAAAATCACCAATTAAAGTAGATCTGTTGATTTGATAATCTGTGTTTTGTTTTAAAAAAACAAAGTAAAGGGTAAATCCAATTTCTTCAGAGCAAACTCTTGAGAGTATTTCAATAAGAAGTATTTTAATTAAGAATAGCTTGCTACTTCTCCAGTCCTCATGGCCATGAACCTGATCCTACAGCATACCCTTAACAAGCGAACACATCCATATCTCTCCTGCATTCTCCAGTGTCCCACTCCAGGGCAAGACTAAACTCATACTCCACCCACCTCATGAAAAGGAGATTAATTTGTCTACCATAAATCACCTTACATTTCAGTTGTCAGTATAACTGACTAGCACATTTTCCTTATACCCTTACCTATATCTGACTGCAGACCCTTAACTGCCCAGTTAATTCCCCAAGCAGCCCACCTCAGAAGCATTCCTGTCTGTTGTGCTAAGAGCACACGCAGCTAGGCTAAGGCTACACCCACCTGGAAAACGCAACAAGCACCAACACAACCACTCTATGTCAACGCCCTTATGACCTTCACAGGAGAGCTCCCCCTAAGTCCCTAATTACTTTAATTAGCTGTGAGCAGGTGAGGCTCATATGCTATTGTTTTGATTCAATACACTCAGTGAAGCTCAGTGCCTTAATCTATGACATGCTGGATCTCATTTCCATCAGCTGGACATTCTTGGGCAGTCTTGGGTTATATTCCCCTCTTCCTTCCCCTCTCTGTGATGGATAATGAAAGGTTTAGGTCAAGCACAGGAAAGACCTGTTGGAGTGGGGCCAGAGGAGTCCACAAAAATTATTCGAGGGTGGAACCTCTCTACTAGGAGACCAGGCTGGGAGAGTAGGGCTTGATCAGCTTGGAGAAGAGAACGCTCCAGAAAGACCTTATTATGTACTTAAAGGGTCATATCAGAAAGATGGTGATAGATTTTTTTATCAGGGTCTGTTGTGACAGGACAAGTAGTGATGATCTTAAACTAAGAGAAGTGAGGTTTAGACTAGATGGAAGGAAGACATTTTTTACACTGAGGGTGGTGAGATCCTGTCCCAGGTTGCCCAGAGAGGTGGTCGATGCCCCATCCCTGGAAACATTCCAGGTCAGAACAGCCTGCTCTAGTTGACCATGTCCCTGATAACTGCAAGGGCATTGGACCAGATGACCTTTTGATGTCCCTTCCAACCTAAACCATGCTATGATTCGATGAACTTTTCCACACTTTAATTCCCCCCATGTGCATAGTGGGTTCTGTACACCACACAGGTTAGCTGCTTTAATTTAATATCTCATGAGGCACTTAGACAGTTTGGAGATGGCTATGGCATAAGAAGTAGATCATTAATAAACAAAATGAGAATGACACTCCTGGGCCATTTTCTCTGGCCTACAGAGAAAGACAGTGTGGCAACTGAAGGCTGGGTTATTATAAACCAGACATAGCTGTTATGGTCTGTAATTAATAAGATTAATTTAAAAGAGGATATTACATTTCATAGCATTTGCTGACTTTGTAGCAACTCATCAGAAGCTCCTGATTTTCCAACATATGTTCTCAGAACATCAGGTACAGAGTGTTCAAAATCAGCAAACACTTAATACAAGCTCAGTTGAAAGTAGAAAGTGGATTTCAGAATATTCAGCAGAATTCTCCTTTCTAAGACAGAATTTTTTATCTGTCTATGAATGAAATCTGCCATTGCAACAAAGGAAACCCACTCAATCTGCCAGGCCAAGCCCAATCTGTTAACGGCCTCACTCTGTCCCAAAGGCACCAAAGACAGCTCTGTACCATGTAGATAAAAACTGTCTGGACGTGCTTTCCCAGGCCAAGCCAGGCTGTTTTACACAGTCCAGACCTGCTCGGTTCCTTATCTGCTGTGAGAGAAAGAGAAGTTCAGCTTCAGAGCAGACGTGCACCTCGAAACCCAGCTGCTGTGTGGAGAGACTCTTCCTACGCTCTCACTGAACTGCAGGCATATAAATTTAAGCTCCATTTGCTTTGAGAACTTAATAATTATATATTCAATAATTAGTACTATCTCATTTTTCAAACTAAGAAAGCTATTGCCCACTTTTGAAAACGCATCTTTTTGGGTATGCAAGTAGCAAATTTTTCCCTTGGATAGTGTCATAAGTACTTAAGGAAGACTACACTAAAAAATAAGTTTTAAGACAGCAAAGCAAGAGAGAAAGATCAGGAAATGTCAGAATTCTGTTTATATATGACATCATAGTTTTTCTGTTTTGTGGATGAGCAATACAACACGAACATTAATTAAATCATCAGAGGTGTAGTTTTATTTTAAAAGACTTTACCTCCCTTAATACAGTTTATGAACAACCAACTCAATACTTCATATCTCTGTCACTCAGACCCTGCTTTGAGGACAGAATATTAATGTCCTCATGAGGTTTCCTAAGATACTCTTTGCTGTGAGTGCTGCACAAATATTAACTGATTTATTTTATGTTATAAGGGAATGATACAGCTCTTGGAATGCAAATGATGTTCTGATACACACAGAGATTACATTCAGAAGCGTTCATACATTACAGGCATCCAACTTGAGATGCTTAAGACTTAATTTTTCAGAGCACTTGGGGTTATAAAGCCCTTTATAAGCTCAGTGTTGTGGCTGAGCATTCAGCACTTGTGCAAATCAGACCACAAGGTCTCCAGACAAGAACCCAGAACTCAAAGGGAAAACAAAGCACATGAAAAGTTTGGTTTAAGTGACTCACTTTGTGTCAACAAAGGTTTCAGTGGTTGAGAGCAGAGATAAAGCTCAGCTATTCAGTTCAGCCTTTACAGAAGTAATCCTTTTATTCTTGCTGCCACATGCCTCATTCTTCCCATGCTTGCTGTTTTCTGCAAATCAAATTTCTATTCTATAGCTACTATCACCAGAAAAACCCCAAAAGTCTGTTTCTTCTGTTGCAACTAAGGTGGCTCTAGGGGAAAAAAAAAAAAAAAAATTGTATGCATCTATGCAGTTCAAAACTGCAAATATATAAAAGGAGTATGTTAAGATTGCACAGGAGGACTTCAGTAACAGCTTTTCTTAATTTTTAAGTGTTTCTTCACGAAAAATTTGTAATACTATCTGAACATTATGTAGGCATGAGTAAATTTTTATGTGTACACCATCAAGGTTTAAAAAAATCCCTGTAACACTATTCCATTATGAGGCATGGCACTAACACATGCTTAGGTTGCTAACAAAGGCATAACTCTGAGAGCTGTGAAGAAGACCTCTCCTTTTTGCTATCAGAGAACCTCCAGTCCTGAATTGTTGTCCTCTGTGAGAAGGGATGTCACACCCACTGGCAGACATTTGCTGTGACAGTGGCAGAGCAGTTAGGAAATGAAATATCAGGCCCACACTGGTCCTCAGGGTTCATTTCCCTCCAAGGGCACCTCAGCTGACCTGTTTCATGACCTGGCCTACCATTCAACCTCTCCCACCCCACGTCCTGAACACTACTCTGGCCGTCCTGCCGTGCCTGCCCACTCTCACCCATCCTCCCCAGCAATTCCTGCCCCAGTTCCTTGGCCAGTCACATTCTGTCCCCCTCCCCGCTCAGCAGGTCTATCACAACTCTCACCATATTTGGCATAAAGAAGGAATTTTCCACTCAGGTTGAAACTATAAGAAGAGTTGGGGTTTTTATTTTATAACCCATATGATGCACAAGTTAAAAGTCTGCACATTTTTGGTTAATAGGTTCCTTCTGCTGGAAGGACCAGGGGCACTGGTGAGAATCTTTGAGGATTCCTCCTCATGATGCACTGTATACTTTTTTGCTTTTGGTCCATTGCACTAAGGATTATATACACTATGGTGTGAGGAAACATCTCATGAGACACCATCTGGAGTACTGTGTCCAGGTCTGAAGCTGCCAATACAAGAAGGACATTGATCTGACGGAGCAGGTCTAGAGGAGGCCATGAAGAGGATCAAAGAGCTGGAACTTCTCTGATATAAAGTGAGGCTGAGAGAGTTGAGGTTGTTCTGGCTGGACAAGAGAAAGCTCCAGGAAGACTTTATTGCAGCCTTCCAGCATCTGAAGGGGACGTACAAGAAAGCTGGGGAGAGACTTTTTATGAAGGCTTGGAGCAATAGGATGAATTTCTAAGGCAGAAGTTCTTCACTGTGAGGGTGGTGAGACACCGGAACAGGTTGCCCAGGGAAGCTGTGGATGCTCCATCACTGTAAGTGTTCAAGAACAACTTGGATGGGGTTTTGAGCAACCTGGGCTAGTGGAAGGTATCCATTCCCATGGCAGGGGGGTTGGAACTAGGTGATCTTGATGGTCCATTCTGACCCAAACCATTCTATGATTCTACTGGAGTCTTATAAGTTACCTGGAGAGAGTACGCTCCAAACCTTACAGGTTAAATGTCTATTAAAATACTGTCCAACTCAGTAGGCTCCTTTCAGATCCCCTTTCTTAATACCAGCAACTCTACAATAGTGATATCTCTACATCTGTTTTGACTCTACAGGTCATTTTGAAACCAATGCAGAAATAGTGTTTATATACCAGTGAAA